CAGAGTACATATACGGAGTACGGAGTACATATATTGTACTCCGTATACAACATACACAGCCTTATCCCGATCCTATCGCAATAAGCGAACCCCGTAACCTGGAAAGTTACGGGAGGGGAAAGTCGGATCTGTCAAGCCCGAACTCTGCCCCATAGGAAACGTGTGTCTACAACATACCTCTGTATATGTACTATATAGTACAGAGTACAGAGTACTCCGTACATAGCTTAGAAATTAGTTCGTATTGCCCAATATACGTATCCGCGTGTAGCCTATCACGTACCCGCTCAGACAGCCAAGTGAAAAAAGTCCCCGACATATCTCCTTTCATCCTTCCTGACGATAGATGGATACTTATTAGAGTTCGCACATGAAAGACATTCGTTTATCGGGTATATCTATCGTATACTAAATCCATATTGCTACCTTGTATGGAGTATGTATACAAACCTAGAAATGAAAACTCGGGAAATGACACCGAAAAGGGTCTCAGCGCCCCTTAGCCAACTTAGTCCTGCTCCACTCTCCCACCATCTACGCCATACAGACCGAAGTAGGATTGGGAGGGACTATCATGTTGATATATCACATTTTGGTCAGTTTTACGCTGGCCTGGAACCCTCTCGGTTCTTGTTCTTGTTTCGTTTTTGGTGGCAAGAGTAGATGATCGGAATTGTGTGAGGTCATGGGTTTTGACTCCGAACATGTCCGGCGTGTTGGTTTGGTCGTTTCATGGATGATGAGGGTGGGAGAGTTTGTGGTTTCGTATAGAGTGAGGGTTGGGAGGTGGTCTCACTTTGACAAAAGTACTGTTGAGTTGGGATGAGGTGTATTTCAGATGGTGGATTGTAACATGTACCCCGTAGCTGGAAATGGAATGTATAAGAGTTATACACAGTGGAGAACGAGAGAAGTGTTGAATGGGCGAGAAAGCCTCTGATCTATGTTCTTCGAAATCATGTATAGATGGTTCGTGATGACCAGTTCAACAGAATTCCAAGTCATCCAAGTCAAGATCTCGCCATATGAGATATATAACCAAGTTTTCCAACAAGCAAGAAAAGATATATGAAATATCTACGCGTAGAACCACTGCGTGGCATATAAAAGCACAACACAAGACCCCAATTCACCCATGTAACCACCTTCCAGCGGAAAAGAAAAAAGCACCTATCCAGTATAGATAGCTCGCCAGATGCCAATATATTCAAGATTGTAAATAGTCAATGTAATCTGCTGTCATTGAAGATGGGTATGGGTAAAAGAAGGGAATGGAGGTTGACACAGCAAGCTGGGAAAAAAACACAATCGAAGACTGCTGCGCCGTATGTACAAGATGCATCGCTTGAGAAAGGCCATTAGGGACCAGAGAGTCAAAAGCATGTCCCCACGGACACCGTCATGCATGCTCTATAATGGAGACTCTAAAGGTAATTCTATCGGGACTGGAACATCGCCTTCGCGGCGGGTCTGTCTCAGCTGGTGGTGGAACAGTTGCCACACACCCTTCAGTGCTTCTATGCGGTCGTTGGCGTCGAGCAAGTCGAACCATCGGGTCCTCTGGAGCTTCAGCACATGCCACGGCTCGCCTTCAGTTGCTGGGAAGGTGCTCTCGCCGTTAGTGAGGATGTCCAAATACCGTCTGTGGACACGGAGGTGGAGGATCGAGACGTGGTGGTTGACAGATGAGATCATGTAAATCTGTTGAGAAGAAAAGAAGGGTTAGCTCTATCTAGCCGTAACATGCACACTCAATTTCAATGAACACGGCAGGGTATGCATACATCATCAAAGGGGCTCTCCTGGACCTTGCCTATCTGCAAATAGCTCATCCGCTTATCCCACAGACTAGGCCCAGGCTGCAGAATCTTCCACTTTTCACTGGTAGTAAGTCTGCGCATAGCACTCGGTCTCCGGGAGAGAGATGTGACAAATGGATGCTCAAACTTGTGACGCTTGGAAGCGCCACCCGCCTCCTGGGCAGATGGTGTGCTTTCTTCCATCATTGAGTCCGGCAAGGACATCCCGTGTCCGTGGTTAACGAGATCATCCAGGATCCCGTCGTTGGGGGCGCCTCCGAAGCGAGGCTGCATGGTCCACCATTTGCCCTCGCCGGGTCGCTTCTCGACTGCGCCTTCGCGGGCACGTTCTTGGGCCGCGAGAAGCATACCACCCACTTCGCGGAATAAATCACTTACATCGCCAATCCCGGTCCCGGGAGTCTTGTCCGCAGTGCGGAAAGACGTCTCGGGACGACACTGTGAGATGAGAACGGGACCTTCAAGCATGCCGCTCCGCGCGATCTGACGGTCTCGCGGGGACCGTGAGGACTGGAATGTCTGCCGGACGGGGAACAGGAGGTTCTTGGTGGTCAACCGTGGTTGGAGCGTGGGGACCGTGACCTGGCATCCGAATGGCCATGCAGCCATTTCCACAAAGGCTCGAATTGTCTCGTCACGCATTTCATCGGGCATCTCGGCGCCGTTGCCAATTCGACGGCCCGTATATACAGAGACAGAGGGCCGCTGCTCCTCGCCAACAATGCCGTTGCTCGAAGGCGCGGCTGTCTGTGCTTCATCCAGGTCCATTTCACCGTCTGTCAGAGAGTGTCTGGTCTTGGACTCCTCAGCATCCACCTGCATTGTGCCATCCTCTGTCTGTTCTATCTCCGATGGGGGTGTCGGATCAGGGGTTGCTGGACGCTCGAAGTAATTGTCTAGGCTAGTATCCCAGTATTGGGCCATGCGCTCCAATCCCGTCCAGAACTTCCTCGACTGCGTTACACGAACCCGGTTGCGACCCTCACGCGGCGGAAATCGAGCCACCTCGCGGAAAGCGTCATCATTATCCAATGCCAGCTCTTTTTCCAGGACTTCGTATCGTTCCTTCGAGGGATACGGGGCTCCATTGTCCATCAACGGCCGAGGGTTGTCTTCTGCCGCTTCGGTGGTATCTTCCCATGGCAAAGGAGCGATGGGATGCGAGTGGTCTTCGGGGATCATGTGGGCGACTTCGACACCTGTCTCCAATTTCAGGTTCAACGGCTTAAAGCGCTCCTCGCAGATGTCCTGTGGGCGTTTGATGTCGGCCAGGAGGTCGGACATCTCCTTGAGTCTTGACTCCGACTCATTTTCGAGGACATCGGATAGTTTGTAGACGGGGAAATCGAGAGGTGTTGGGTGAGCGGGGGGTCTGCGTTCCTTCTCCGGCTCTGAAGTGGCAGAGGGCAAGGCTACCGCAAAGTTATGTTAGCTTCGAGACTGTCAATGTGATTCGTCCATCGTCCAAAGTCTGAGTGACAGATCTAAGATCGCATAGCACTTCAAGCTACAGTCAGGCACTCCAACTCAATGTGGCTGCCCCGGTGAACTTGTTGACATTTCAACTTGCCCACAGGGGGGTAATGGCGGGGAAAGGAGGGGGAAACCATCGAGGGGTAACAAAAGGAAGATTGCTTACCCAGCCCAGAACCCCAGCCAAACATTTCCAATCACAAATCTAATGCAAATGCAAATGCACGATTATCGCAAAGTTCTAGTTCCCCAAGGTCACATGGGAACAAGAGGGGAACGGGAAGGCGGAAAGGCAGAAGGGCAGAAAGGGGAGAAAAGGCACAAAACACCGAAATAATGAGGTAAAGAGGTAAATAAACAGAAGTTGGAATCCAAACAAGAAAAGAAACCACTTCTGGGATGAAGAAGAGATGGAAGAAGATGAAAGGATCCGGGGGACTTTTGCAGGTGGGGAATTTGGCGGGAACATTTGTCCCTTCAGCCCTGGGCTGACAATCTGATTCTGATTCTGATTTTGATTTTGATTCTGAGTCTGAGACTGATGTATATATATTCTACCATCTATCTCTTATGACCTTTGACCCTTTGACCTATGATCTACAATAGTCATATGTTGGAGGTGCATTCATCAGGGCATTCGTCAGGGTCAAGGGATGAGGGTTGGGGAATGTTCTTCCTCAGGTGTACTCCGTAGGGCTATCACACTCTCTAACTACTCCATACTCCGTACTTTGTTTTAGTACTGTAATCTCTTCGTTTTTCATTTTTCTTTCTACTAGTATTCTTCTATACCATCCATCGATGCTATATGAATATGGGATTCTTCTTTATATAACCCAAACATGATCACATGACTCTTCCAAATGAGGCATTGCTACGATCCCTCTATGCCGAGGATACTGTACTCCCAACTGCAAGACCTGCAAGACCCGCAAGATACCAACAGCTAAAATAGGCAAAATAGGCAAAATCTGAAACTTCAGGCATCACCTCCAGGTTGGACCAGTCCAAATTCCAATGAATCTCTCACCAAACCCGAAACTACTGTTTCGTCCGTGAGACATGATACACTTCCCCGCTCAAATCCCACCTAAGGAACAATAATGACGAGATTGCGCGCATGCAGAAAAGTTAGTCAGTGTCACATTATAGGAAATTCCCATATTTTTCTAGAGATGATCGTCCACTCGTGGACCGCCAGAGGGTCTCATTGGGCCGAGGGCTAAGCGCCGTTCATCTGTCACAGGAGTTGCTTCCACCCAGCCATTAGAAGAAGCGCCGGGTTCCAGACAAATGAAAGACAAAACCCCCTGACAAATTCTACGAGGAAAATAAAAATAAAATCAAGTCCCTGTACATAACCCTCCAACCTCTTTGTATCTGACATGATACACTTTTTGGGCCCCTACGAAAGTGAATCGTGAACTGTATGGAATCCCGCCCTAACCACGGGATTATGTTCGTGGCTGTCTCAAGGCTTCAGGGAACAAAGAAAGAAACAGAGGGCGCGTGGGTGAACCTTGGGAGTCAACTTTATAAGCCCACTGCTTTGTCGGTTGCTTTGTCGCTTTGTGCTTTGTCCGACATTCATACAAAGGGAGCCGTCCTTTTACGTCGCCTCCATGTTCCATTCACCGAAAACGGACTCGCCAAATACCATCAGATCTGTCTTTTAACGACCGGTGCCCCTTGCGGGCTCGCGGCGAGATGTCGAGTGCTTTTTCCGCCATTAATACTCCCTCCATCCCGCTCAACAACTTCGTCCGGACGTGGTCCACACAATTATCTTCTGAACCGCCCAATCTGGTGACAGTCACGTCAATCCAAACGGAGACTGTTTATCCTACATGGGTCTACACGATATCTGGCCCCGGACCTGATTCCAGCACCGCAACTACTGTGCCTGACTTTTCATCGTCAACACAGAACCCAACCGCGTTGACCGTGACTCTGACCACAACTAAGCTGTCAACAGCTAATCAGGATACCATAATATCGACCCCCAGCTCTACGTCAACAGTTATCTCGGAGTCCTCAACTTCGACCCTGACCCCAACGACCTCGGTTCTATCAAGCTCAACGGGGGACTTTCCTATTTCAGTAACTTCAGAAGTACCCGACCATCCCAGCAGCATGTGGATTCCACCAATTCCATTAACTAGCTCGAGTACGTCTATTGCATCCTCAATTCCTGTCTTTCCGGAGACAGCCACTAGTTCTGTAAGCTCCCTGAACTCCATAAGTATCTCGGCCAGCTCGAGCACCGCACCAACAAAGACACCAACAAACACACCTTCAATATCACCATCCATCGGAACCATCACGAGCGCTAGCTCTTCAGAAACAGCTCAAGCTGACAATTCGAGCTCCACCTCCAAAACCGGAACGATAGTTGGGAGCATCATCGGAGGATCAGCAATCATGATCTTCGCCCTACTAGCCTGCGCACTCTATATGCGTCGCCAACGCCGAAAGATAGCAACAGCGCCCCTAGACATCAGACAGGAACTACTACGAGGTGACTCCACGAGCTCATCAACCAGCCACCACCACCATCACCGCTACCACTCCTACCCCTCGATCCCAGCCAACATCGGCCCGAGATCCCCTGTCCTCCCAGTCATCCCGCTGCAACAGCAGCCCTCAAATCCAGACCTCTCCCTGGATACCATGTACCTACGCGGCGAGACAAGAGCGCATGACCCCTTTGTGGACCCGCCGTCCACAGTCATCGAGATCTCAGCCCCGTCTCGCTCGGTCTCAATCTACTCTACTTCTTCCCGGGGCGTCGGGCTCGGTGGGCAGGGTTACTGGGACTCCGAGCGCGAGGCTGCGGGTGCAGGTGCGGGTTCCCTCGCTGTACCGCATGCGTACTTGGATACGCCTGTGATGCGTGATAGCATGCGCAGTGACCCGTTCGATCTTGATCTTGAGCCTCCACCAAATGCTCACCATCGGTCTTCTGTCCCTCCGATCCCTAGTACGTGGGGTGTCAAGTTTTAGATGGCGAAGTTTCGCTTCTTTTTATTGGTTTGGGCTCGTTTTGATTTCACCTCCTACTTATATTATACATTTGCCCTTTACTTTTGGCTTTACTTTGATTTACGACGACAAGAACTTACGAATGTGATGTCTGCATATTTTGATTTGGGTTTTCCATTTTTGTATTTACTCATGTCTGGAGTTCGGTGTTGAAGGTCTGGGTTGTTCATTGGATTATATTGATATGTACAATTTAGAGGCAGGGCGGAATGACTCAAATTTTAACTCTATTTTCAAGATATATTGTCATGCCTTCACCATGCTTTCATTTCCTTCTTTTGGGTTGGTTCTAAACGGGCCGCGTTCTATATTTGCAGGATTTGGATGACACCACACTCAAGGCCTAATTGTTTCTATCTGGGTCATTGATATATTTCAGAAGTATTTGATTGCTAAAGCTACTCAAGGGATGTTATATATCCAGTAAATTTGCTCTGCGCTGGTGCTTGGCTGTTAATCATGAATTTTATGCTAAGATCGTGGAGTTGTGTGATAGATATATATCCAACGGTAATCATATTTTGACATAAATCTGATTAGATCTCTGATTTATTGACCTCGCAAGTATTTCAAAATAGGCTAAGAAAATCCCGTCCTCTTTTTCGATCTCATATTCACGTCAATATTGTGGGTTGGGCTGTGAAGTCTAGAAGAGAGTGGGCAGGCCATTTTAGATCAAAATCCCCAGAATAGCAGTGGCGTAGCCACAAGACCCATAAATTACGTTGGAGGTCTTTGATCCACGAGGCTGCAGTTGCCAAGGGGACAGAATCGTGGGAATCATCGAGATGAAGTCTGCGTAAAGCATGAGATGGACCTCTATGCAATACACACTGGATGACCAGCGACAATAACATATCTAGTGATCACTATGGGCAGCAAAACCGGGAGCATAGGGAATAAACAAGCGAGGCCATCGAGGGAATGATATCCACAGGCTTATGGAGGCAACAGACACGATCTGCTTCTCCGCATATCAGGTTTAGACACCAAAGTCGCAGTAAATATGGACCGGGAACGAGGGTGCGGTTTTTGTTTTGTTTTTTTGGTGAAGTAAAAAAAGATTTCCTTTTGCTTTCTCGTTACATTTTAACAAGAATAGCTTGAGTATCACATCATCATCGCATCTTCCTATTTCCCATACCCCATATTTTCCGAAAAGATCCAATAAGGCCACGAACCCCATGTAATCAGAGAAAACAAAGGGAAGGAGAGAAAGTCGTAACAGAATCTAGACTAATAGGAAGACGCCGAAGGCCGATCTGAGTTCGATATCGGGAACAGCCTAGAATCCCGAATCCAACCCAGAAGTTAACCGTTTCCAACCTCCGGACCGCCGAATTGCAAGAAAAGCGTCAAACAACGGAAGGGTAATTGAATTTTTGTATCAGATTTACTCTTCGCTGATCAGAGCATTGTGCTTGGCCTCCTTGCGCTCCAACCGGCGCTCACGGAGAGCCTTGTTCTTGGCACGCTTAGCATCCATCTCTTCCTTGAGGACACGGTCGCGGGCGCGCTCAGCCTTAGCCTTCTGGATCTGTAGCGGTGAAAGAGAGAACGAGTCAGCCTGGGTGTGTTCTGTTTTGCGTGTTTTATAGGGGCCCATGGGTTCATGTTTCCATGTTCGATCGTCATCCGTGGGGTTGATTCGGGTTGTAACTTACGTGCTCAACGAGGGCACGCTTGTGCTTGAAGGTGTTACCCTTGCTCAGGTGGTAAAGCTCGTGGTAGAGGTGCTTGTCGATCTTGCCGGCGGCGCGGTAGCGGACGAGCAGACGACGGAGAACACGCATGCGGCGCATCCAGAGGACTTGGCTAAACGGAACAAAATAAAATCAGCAACTGTGCCCTGATTCTAGTTCCGTCGGGCGAGTCCGAGACAGGCCAGACGAAGACAAAAAAAAATGGTGGTGGTGTGCATACCTGGGCATACGGGCATCCTTGGTACCCTTGCGCTTACCGAGACCACGGTGACGACCGTTGCGGCGGGCCTCGTTGAGCTCGCGGGCGCTGGCACGGGAGTGCATGGTGACGGGCTTGCGGATGATGAGGCCATCGCTGACGAGCTTGCGGATGGTCTGGCGAGAGTTGGCGTTGGAGATCTCGTTCATCTCATTGGGGTCGAGCCAAATCTTGCGCTTGCCGCAGCCGACCACGGAGGCGGCGAGGCGCTTCTGGGTGGTAAGGTTGACCCTGTGGTGGTGAAAGACCCGGTCAGCATCATAGCACACACATCACGAAGTTGTTCCTCCACTATAACGAAAATATCGGGTCCACGAGTTGGGTGTTGGACATGAATTTCCACAGCACACGGGAGTGCATTCGAGAACTTCAATAACAGCTTGGAGATAGAACTCACATCTTGATGTCGGCGTATCGACGGTCGTTGGCGGATGATGTTCGTGGCACTGAGAAATCCCGACGGTGAGAGTTTGAGAGGGCACTGCGGGCCAGATTAGGTCAGCCGAGGGCTAAGCGAGTGCCCCTTCCACAACTGGCGGAGCGCTCCAGGGTATATACCCTAGCGCTAGTCCGAATCGGGATGATGGAACTTGAAGATCTTGCAGTCCGGGGAAGCCAAGAGTACTTACATTGGGAAAAGTTGAAATGAAGATGCGGAAAGAATAAGAGAATTGTAAGTTGGGTTTTATTTTTCTATTATCTACAGCTGTTTACTGTGGCTTGCGTTGTAGATAGCAAAAAATGAACATTGTCACGTGACACCAAAGACAAGCAGTGTCACATGATCCGCTATTCCCATTTAGGAAAGAGTGATCTGCAGTATAAAGTCCAGTAGATGGCAGCCCATTGATATAGAACGACGCAATATAAAATATACAAAAACATACATATGCATAACTTTTGTACGACTAAAACAAATAAAACCCAAGGGTATATCTATAAACATCTAGATGCTCCTTGGATGCGCAACAGATCATCACTCATCGCCAAAGGCCTCTCCAAGATCAACCTTGCCAATGCTCCACACTTCCTTCTCATCATCTAGCTCGTCATTCGACAGTCCCAAGCCACCTTCACCACCTTCAGCCTCCCGGCGCTCACGCGCCTGGTTAGCCAAACGAATAGCAATGCGCTTGAAGTAATCAGACATGCTGCGCTTGGGGCCTGGTGGGAGAGATGCGCCCGGACCGGCCATATACTTGTCAAACACCTCGCTCTCAGACTCGACCACAGAGAAGATGGACAAGAATGCGGCTTCTGCCGCCAGCTTGACGGGAATCACCAGATCACGGACACTGGCGAAGATGGGCGGTGCGAGCAGAGCCAGGTGAGGACGGGCCAGCTCGGGGTGAAGACGGCTGACAGTCCGGATGACTACCAAGCTCAACCGCCGGGTGTCGACCGGGTTGCCAACCTGGATGGCAGATGCCAAGGCCTCGAAGATGGTCTTGCTTGATTCGAAAGCATGATCACCATCGTTGGACAAGAGGTATTTGCCTGAAGCAAGAGCGCTGTTGTCGGAGACGAAGGGCTTTTTTTTTAAGTTAGCTTCGAGCATTAATGGGTGATTTAGCTTTCCACTTACATCCTTGTTTGCAAGACCCTGGCAAATGACGGTGGGCAGTTCCACAGAGAAGTGTTCGGTCAAAACCTCGGGGCATTCAGCCAAAAGAGCGTTGAGGCCGAGAACTGCTGCATGAGAAAGGGAGCCAGAAAGGATACGGTTCCTACGAGAAGATATATTAGCATCCAGCAAAATCAAACCACCAGAACGAATATGCATACTTGATGAGAGGAACCGAGCTTGCGGCAGGGAGGACCTTCACGAGGGCACCGAGCAGACGAGCGTTCGTAATTGAAACGGAATCTATGAGTATATTAGAACGCCGTAAAACATAGAAATCCTTAATAATGATCTTACCGGTCTGGTCGCTAGCGTCATCGTCAATCAGACCAAGGATTGCTTGCCGGGATGCCTCGCTCATGTTGGCACCAGCCTTACCAACCACCTCCTGGAGAGCCTTCATCATGGCGTTCTTCACGCCAATGTCACTGGTCTTCGATCCAGCAATAAGTTCTGGAGATAAAAGTTAGCGATGAGCTACATTCCATGTATGAAATTTCCCGAGACATACCAGCAATAAGAGGATCGACTCTGGGAGTAAGCGTAATCAAGATACCAAGACCCTTGGCAGCCCGGTTGCGCAGAGTCTCGCTTGTGGTGTCAGCCAGACCACGGGCGAATGTACGCTGGAGCTGAGGCAAGAACGGCTTGACAGCCAACGGGATCTTCTCCAGCAGCTTGTTAAGAGTATAGAAGATAGCGCCTGGCAAAGCAAATCAGTAAACAGATACCACCCAAAGGCTTTGCATGACTTACACTTAATATCGACTGAACGTTCTGACACAACACGAATAAGCGGACCGGTGATCTGAGTCACGAAAGGCTTCAATGACTCGGCACGAGTCCGGTCGATGATATCCGACATTGCAAGGGCGGACTGGGTACGCTGATCGGTAGTACCGTTGAGAAGACCTTGCAAGAAGATCGGCAAGATAGCCATGATACCCTTGGGCAGACTGAAGCCGGGCAGGTCCGCGCCAGCCACGCCCACCTGTCGAAGAGTCTGGCGGGTAGGAATAGCCAAGCTCTCCATCTCTTCCTTGCGCATATGAGACATAAGACCAGTGAGGGCAGTCCATGCCGACTTGACGACATCCTTGTCTGGGTCGTCGAACGAAATCAGCAAGGCGCGGATCAAGTCCTGGTAGTATCTCGAGAAGTCGAGCTCGGCTTCCGCGAAGAACTTGGTCAGATGGAGTGCCGCAGCAGCGCGACGACGGTGATCGTCGTGCTTGACAAGAGTGACCATCACATTCATGGCGGCACTCAGGCCATCGTACTCGTCTACGGACACCAGCACGGTATCGAATGCGGTGCTGAGCTCTGTTCGAAGCTCCTCGTCGGTAGTCTCGATAATGCCGTCCATAAGGGAGTT